ATGTGGTTGTATTCCTCTTAAAGGTGCGATTGACTTTACATATTCTATCAAAATAGACCTAATCGTGTGTTTAAGAAACATAAAGATACGGAAACTACCTCTAGGTTTTAGTATTATATGTGGATGCTCCCTTTACTATTATATATCATACATGCTAGGCTATATTATTTTAATTTTTTTTTCTTAGAGCAACAGACAGTACCAGTTTAAAATCACCATCAATATTGTTTTCCGCCCATTGGAACTCGTCATAGTACTTACTTAATTAACAAAATATATTTCCTGTACGGACCCATTGCATCTTTATTCCCAGGTTATTTTCTAAGAGTAGCCGTTGAGTTATTCCACTTCATACAAAATATTGACTACTGTAAAGACTACAATAAATCCCAAATTTAAAATGTTAGTAAATTTACAAAGAAAGTGTAGAATAAATCTTGAACATATGTTTTGAAATAAAAATACCCCCGCCACAGCAAACCTGCAGACTAAGCGAATTTCCATTTGCCTGATTGGATTTACACTAAAATGTCTCCTTAAAAATATCACATTTATTCCCTATTTAAATCAAATCAGTTTAACACATACTCAGGTTTGCTGCAACAGGGAGGGTTAAAGTGTTTTTTTTATGTAAAATGTTAATAGTTAGTAAGAAATAAAAACATTTTCCAAATTTGGGCAAAAATATGTTAAATAAGCAAACTACAACAGTTTACTTATCCTCCATAAGAATAACATGGGAATTTTAAATTTACAATTTTTTTGAATTTTCTCCGTAACCATTAGGCGAATTAAAACGCTTCAATATACTAAATTATTTGTTTTTTTAAGGTCTACAAAACAGTTTGGAAAGAAATTGCAAAAATTCAAGTTTTTTGGGTCAAAAATGGGAAAACCCCATTTTTACCCCATAAAAGCCCCCATAAACCCCCATTCCCATGGTCCGATCATGCTGGTTCGCGCACTCGCTCGAATAAACGTAGGTTTACACGTTTGTACCAAATTTCATCAAAATCGGATCATTTTTGCTCGAGTTATCGCGCTAACGGACACATATATATATATATAAATATATATGAATTTGAACGGATGCTATTTTTGGCCTCTAGGGACCTCTAAACAAAAAAAAAATCGGTCCCGAGTCCAGGTCTTACCATGAGTACTACGGTAATAGCTTATTCCCTATATGGGAAATTCGCTAATAAAGCAGAAGTTTTCCATTTAATCTTGAATCGTTGTTTATTTAGTCAATGTGGTCAAGTTTATTTCATGTTAAACGTTAAAAATACACAAATCTGAAAAGTTTTACAGTAAAATAATTTATTTTAACATTCTATAACGTACACAACTAAAAAGTCTAAATTATTGTAGGTAACGTTGTTTTATATAGTACATTGCAGAATTGACTGGCAATTAAGTCATCCAAATGTTAATATTGCGTACCGGCTTATTGATAAATTGTGATCAGCTGTATTGAAGTAAACATAAATCAGGAGTAAATGGCTTCTAATGCTATTCTTATGGAGAACATTTTACGTTATATCTAATTTTGTATTAAAATTTAGGGATTTTCACTATACTTTCCCGCTGTCACGGGATCGAGGCCTTTAATTTGAGCCCTCCCGTCATTCTACGACTTCCCAGTCGCCCATAATTTTGACGCAAAGAATCGGCTTACATAATCTTAATAATATTGTAAAAGTTTGTGTGTTTGTTTGTTTGTTTGTTTGTTTAAAGGTCAATCACGCATAAACCACTGGATGGATTGGGCTGAAATTTGACATGATTATAGCTCACATTCCCGATTAACATATAGGCATATTCTTATCTCAAAAATCCTTTCGGGCTACGCCCCAGTGGCTCTGTAGTTCCCCATTTTAACCTTATGAATATTCATATTTAAAGGGAATAAAATAATTTAGTCAGCTGTTTCAACTTAAAAAGTTGGTTCTATCGCATGCAAAAGCATTAAAAGTTATAAGATTTACCAACAGGGTGCAGCAGTATTACTTTTTTTGCATTTATGGAAACAGCAAATTGGAACTAGGCAACAACAAAAAACTATGATATGTAATGAGAACTGTCAAAGTAGGATAGTTTACAGTTACTTTTATTTTTTTTTATTTCGTGAATCATTTGTGATATTTTACAAATCTTTAATAATTTATTTTTCTCTATTGTTTAGGTGACGTGGTAGAATATGGCCATGGTAGGTGTGTAATACTATAGTATACCGTAAATTTAAAGAAGCAAATTTTATCAAATCGTGTCCTCCCCTATTGCAAACACAAAGCTTGAGTATAACTGTAATAAGCATTTTACACTTATATGCCAATCCCGTACGAAGGACGGGTACTCTGCTAGTTATTAATATATAGATTAACTAGTGGCTTTTAGGGGCAATAGCCCCTATATATGTATAAATATTTTGTCTCATGGGTTGAACCTTGAACCATTGGGTTGATCTCCATTTGTCAACTCGATCGTTTAACATTTTTGTATACAATATGTATAATAATTATTACATGCCTGCATAATGCATTTTGTTATCTGCTCTGTTTAAAATAACAGTTCCAAAAGACTGTTCATCCGGTATTATAACAACTGTCTAATCATTAATACAACTAATGATCATTTTCAATTATAATCTTCATGACTATTAATTAAATATATATATAAATCTCTTTGAATATAGACAAATTCACTTAGATTAAACACATAGAGATAACGTCTTCCTCCAGATTGTAAAATGCTAATTACAATGACAGAAAAATATTGTATTTTGTATTTAGTTTATAACAAAATCTCTCTGAAAACAACATTTTTGTTGTATGGTATCCATTTTAATTGATTCATTCGTCTTTATTTGATTCTAGTACTATTTTGACATCATCTGGCCGCCTTACCTGGTTAACATAAAGTTGACCATGGGTAAACACTATTTTTTTCTTCAAATAAATGCCAACTTTTGTTCGGGTTCGGCCTCGTCCTTTGCTTTAATAATAAGTAATATTGAAAGCTAATCGCAATGGGAATTGAATACTTGTAAACTTAAACGGCATATCAGGATCTATAGATATTAGTTTTATTTTCGGCATGGAAAAATAAGTCCCCTTTGCCTACTCCAGTAACCACTTCTAACTTTACACTTTGTTCAGACATACCTAACACAACAAATCGTACTCCATTAAACAATCCAGACCCTTAAAATTAGGGAAAAGTCTATTTCAAATTTATAATACAGGGTGGGGCAGGGAAGTATCACTAATTTTAAAGGTAAATTAAAAGACAATCAAAAATGTTAGAACCAAACTTTTTATTGAGATTAAAAGGTTACATCTGGGAGTTTATTTTAATATAACTTTACTTGGTTTTAAACAGCATATCCTGCAAGTGGTGTCCCTAATCGTAAATACACTGTTGTATTCTGGTTCTGGAGTTCATCATAACTTTGTGAAGCATTTGTTGTGGAGTGCGGCCAACCTCAAGGTGAATTGCATCCTTCAAGGCATCTAGGGTCTTCCCTTGAACCACCCTAGGCTTAGCATCACTCCAATAGAGCACATTCTGCTTATTTACCCGCTCCAGGAATATGGAAGTGTGCCTCGCCACTAAACAAAACCCGAGCAGCGTGAGGTAGTCCCGCAATTAAGATTTCACATGCCTGCATTCGTTGTTGCCAGTCCCGTTGTGTGAGTTCATGAGCAACTACCCTCTTGTATAGATGGAGGTGTAGGTCCTCATGGAGAATACGAGGCACAGTACGATTAGACAACGCCAGCGCGGATGCATGCTTACAAGCAGAACTTTGAGGAGACTGCAAAATCGATCTTCTGACAAGGTCAATGTTTTCAGGACTCCGGACGGTTCTTTGAGCTCCAAATATCCTTCGCAATACACCACCACATACATGAAAGTAATTCACCCCCACCAAATTGTAACAGCTTTGCGACAGGCCACCCGATAACCCGACAGCCAATGGTACCTGCACAGCAACAATAGACTGATTAAAAAAAAAAATACATCTCGAGTGCAAAAGCACATTGCTCACTCGAACAAGCCATATCTACTACTGATAGTGATATTTTTAGAAATTCCCAAAACAAAAGCTTCATTTGAGCCCAACCCCATTCCTCCAGCACACCCCCACTACTCACAGTGCCATCTTAAAAGTAGGGATATTTCCCTGCCCCACCCTGTAGTATGCATATTACAGTACATATTACATATCATATGCTTTAAATAAAGTTAAACCACATGTTTTAAAGTAAACAAAGCACATGACCTAGATTCCCATGTTATTTAAATGTGAATTATTTTATTCCGTAACGACAGTTTGGTGCATAATTAAGAAAAATGAATATTTTTCCCCAAAATTTCATGCTGAGACCTTTAAAATGAGACCTCTCCCAGCTTTCTACGTCCTCCCGTTCGCTCACAATTTCATTGTAAAATTTTGGGCTTACGGAATTAGATATATAGATGAACAACAGAAAACCATATGTTAAACAAAAACATTTAAATGCTCATAAGGAATTCAAAGAGTACTAAATATAATAAACATAGTCCCAATAGTTATTATATGCAACAATCACCACTTTAAAGGGTGTCACTAGAATTGGGGCAATTACCCTACCTGATTCTAGAAACTAAGCTAAGAATGATATGTTTAATAATTTTTATTCAATTTAGGGTAGTTGTAGTCTGAAATGTTGCTTGATCTTGATCATAATCATGCAGAAATTCTCTGGAGATATTTTTGTGAAGTATTGCAATCTCAAGGAAAGAGGCATGTTTATGAAAAAAGATAGTTATTTTAGATGGTTTGATCACAGCTTATTACAAACAAAATTGAGAAAATTAAATAAAAGGTACAACTAAACTTAGTTGAAAATATACAGAAAACAGCAAATACACATTTTATGCATGCAATAGATGCTCAATCAAGGAAATTTTTACTGAATTTTACAAACAAATTGTTTTATCGAAAATGTATACAGCTGTTTGTAGATGGCGAGATTTTGTACGCTGGCCAGGCTGTTGGGGTGATTGTGGCTACGTCTCAACAACTGGCCAACTACGCTGCAGCTAGAGTCAAGGTGACCTACACAAACAAGAGGAAACCTCTGTTGACCGTACAAGAGGTGCTGGCATCTGGGGAGACAGACAGAGTGGTGTACCAGGGATCAATACAACCTACTGTAGAGAAAAGTACTTTTCCTTCATACTTGAAAATGAGACATAAATTACCAATGTAGCCTCCAAAATACAAGAAACCTTGTAAGACATCCTTGTAGGATAGGGTACTTATTTCATACTAACAATATGGAATACAATATTTATATGTATACAATGAGGAGATTTATTTTACAATATTTGATAAATAGCCCACATTTTGAGATATTTCTGAAACATTTTAGCACACTTATAATTATTATAACTTGAACCAATCTATTAAAAAAAAGCTGATGGTTGGCTTTCTCGGTAAAAGTAGAGTGTCGAACCTTGATTTTCATCAAATGACCGCATCAATGATTTGGTAAAATGATAGACATTTTGGTTGCTTTGCAGCAATCTTAATTTGGGGCAAACTATAATCTGAGAAACGTCTGCCAATATATATTCGCCGATTCAACAACATAACGAGGTCATCTCCCAATGACCAAGAATCAATAATCTTTATTGTTAGCAATTAAAGCCATATCTCAGTCGTATAAAACTACAGAAACATAAGTGAAATTTTGTACTCTTAAATTGTATAATGATAATGTATTACTGTGTGTAGAGAACATCGTTCACACAATCACAGGAGACTACCAGTACCACGGACAGTTCAACTATCACTATGAGACTCACTCCACAGTTGTCAGACCAATAGAAAACACTCTAGACATAACTGTGGCCACTCAGTGGATACAGACAGTAGCAGAAGCTGTGTCAGAGCTTCTCAACATGTCTGTCAACAGGTAGTTGTTATTTTATTTAAATTATGTTTAAAAGTGTTTTGTAAGGTAAAATGTCTAAAATTATAGTTTCCTTCACATTATGAGTGATATTGAAATTAGTTTGGCCAAATAGAAACCGTTTCTCCTTCTTATTCTTAGGACAGTCCCATGATAGCTACCTGTACTAAACACATAATATTTCTATTTTAGGATAAATGTTCGGGTTTTACGATGTGGTGGAGGTTTTGGTGGTAAGTTAAGCCGTCCGAACATAGCAGCCTGTGCAGCAGCCTTATCAGCTCATCTACTTCAGCGGCCAGTGAGGATTGTCATGGATTTGGAGCAAAACATGAGGTCTGCCATAGGACGATACCACATGCTCTCCAAGTATAAGGTGAGGATAGCCTATGTCTTTGCTTGGGTGAAAAATGTATCTTTCTTATATACTTAGTTCGACAACATGGGCTTAAAGACCCATATAATAAAGGACTTAAAGATTTACTTTGGTGAATTGAACACAATATTTGTAATTGTATGCCAGTTTTTAAATTTTTAATTAATCCATAAAGTTGTTACCAGGATTGCAAAAACTTGTATTTTATTAATGGCTTGACTAGCAAATCAATGAAGAATTCATTTTTAAAGTTATAAATACAAGTATTAATACATTGTGATTTTTTTCACGATTGTTTGAAATCCTTCTCTAGGTTGAAGTAGACAATAATGGTGTTATTCAACGTCTGAAAATAAAATACTACAATGACAAAGGAGCATCATTCAACGACTCGATCACAGCTCCTCTTACAATCCCCTCATTCCCGAACATTTACGACAGCAGCACTTGGAATGTTGACGCTTACGATGTTTTAACTGACAAGGCTACGACTACCTTTATGAGAGCTCCAGGTATTTTATTACTCTTCCTTTTGTTTTGTGTACCCTATGTTGAGGTATCTTAAACAAATTCTGACTTTAGCACACAGATAATATTTTTTAAGATTATTATATAAAACTTTTGCTGAAAACTATACTATGACATATAGATGTCCCATTTCCATTTTAGTACAAAATAATTATTTCCTTTTAAATATGAATACTCATAAGGTTAACTTAGGAAACTCTAGAGTCACCGGGGCGGAGCCCAAAAGGATTTTTGAGATAAGAATATGTCTATATGTTAATAGGGAATGTGAGCTATCATCATACCAAATTTCAACCCAATCCGACCAGTGGTTAAATGCGTGATTGAACTTCAAACAAACAAATAAACACATAAACAAACAAACACACAAACTTTCACATTTTATAATATTAGTAAGATTCCACACAGCTGGTTTGCACATTAAAATTATGTGATGGAGTCATCGACTTTGGAAATAGAAATAAGTAAGATTCTACAACCCATGCTGTATCAACTAAAGCTTTGCCCTTGAGTTTTCAAAATTGAGCTAATTGATATTTTTATCACTCGATTTTCATGGAAACTGAGTTATAACAACAATGTTGGCATGTTCTAATTTGAATTTTTTTAATAGCTTTTTGTTTACAATTTTTTTTTTTGGCCCAAAGATATAGATGTTGATTATTTACAAGGAGATAATCTATGTGCATTTTTACAAATTTGAGATAATGCTTACAAACCAGTTACTTTGTTAATAAGTTTCTAATTTTTAAATTTAAATCAAAGTACAATATTATAGCTGAGGGTTTTTACATAGAGTTGCTACTTATCTTTTCTTTTATTACCTACTAGCTGTACCCACGGGCTTTGCCCCGTTTAACTTCATAAGTATTCGCATGGCTCAATCACGTCCCGGTTGAAGTTCGTTCGCTACGCTCACTCACCTTCAGGTTGGAAATCGTTCGCTGCGCTAACTTGTTTTCAGGTTAGCTCGTTCATGTTGGTAATATGTTTACTCCTATTTCAACTAACTTGCACTTGAATTTAACCTTTTTAAATGTCGAATAATGAGGTAGTATTGTTTTGCTACATAGGTCCCTTAAATTAGACCAAAGAGATACAGTACTGTAAAATGAAGATGAACACAGTTGGGATTTATTTCTAAAATCAATGTTAAATGTTTGTTTCTTTGGTGGTAAGCGTGTAGTTGTTTTGTTTTTCTTAATGTTTATAATGACGTTTATACAGGGTGAGTTTCTACTAAGCGTGTTAACTTTGCCAGTATGTTCTACCATTGACTATATATCTACTCACTAAAAGGAACAAAAAAGGTCCTATAAACCCATGTCCGATTTTCAACCGTTTGGCTGTAATGGTGGATTTTGTGTTTTTCTTATTTTATTAGACTTTGCTCCCCAATTTATGTAATAAAAACTTGACCAATTACTTTAGAGAGTTATAGTTAAAATCATTGGAAAGAATATTAAATTTGCTTTAAATCAAAGGTTTCATTCAACAATTATACCATTACATAGTCCGGGTTATATCCAAAATAAAGTAAAAATTGCATTTAATTAATTAATTACGTTAACTTTCATGAGCCCACTTTGATACATAAACCTACATCTATGCAATGTTGAAATGCATAGAAAACTTGGTCATTTAATAATCTTTCAAATGATATGCTATTCAATACTATTATTAATATAAACCAGTGAGAAATTACTAATAAACTACAATAAAACACGGTTCACAGATTTTGTTTTTACACAGTTTTTAGTGTTAATAATAATTACTGTATACTCCATGTTGTATTATATTGAACAACGTGATAAAATTTGTACATTAAAGAAATGTTTTGACCAGGAACACTAGGTGCTACAGGACTTGTTGAACACATAATGGAACACATTGCTATGACAGTCAAGAGAGATCCTATGTCAGTGAGACTGAGCAATGCGGAGGTGGGAAGTCCTATATCCGGGTATGTGGCAGAGGTGAAGACCAGAGCAGACTACAACACTAGGCTGGCAGCCTGCAGAGCGTACAATGCTGTGAGTAAACAAACAGAAAACTTCACTTACCTTTTTTGAGTAATTTATTTCTGAGACTTTTCAAGCACACTACAATGTCTAACACACTAAAATACAAATCGTCCTAATCCCTGGGGAGTCTTGCGAGACCTTCCCCAGGGTAGGAAAAACTTACTTTTTTGCCCGTACGTGGGTCAAACTCCTTACCATGAATGTGATCCAGTGTTCTTGGAGGACAGGCAGGAGCGAGGGCAGGCCTACTGTTTAAGCCAGTAAAATTATCTCTCCTTATATCTTAGTTTCTCTACCTACCTCTTCTTTTAAAAATTTTTAATTAACAGTACTAACATCAACCATTACTTGTGAAAGTGGCTTGTGTTCAATAACCATGAATAGCATCTCTGAAGCTCTAGGCTTCCTCATAGCTTACTTCTTGTAGAGAGTTTTGCAGGTTACCCAAATGAATGGTTTGTTTCCAGATCGTGGTCGCATATCTTTGAGACATGTCTATCTCTCCTTTATACGGTACTTTTTTTATGTGCTCGTTTTTCACTTTCACTGGCATCAATATATTTCAATATATTTCTCTTGTAGTTTATGCCACATGAACAAGGGATTTCATAGTTTTTCATTTTGTTGGAACACATCTTCTTGTTCCTATTTTGATCAATTGAACTACTTAATACAAATCAAACAATACCTGCAGACTGCCTATAGTGGTCCTGGAACATCCAACAGGATTACGCGTTTCGGTATATTGTTGTACCATCATCAGATCCTTTTTTACAAAACTTGAAGTTTTTCTACTCATGATGTCACCTCACAGTTTTAAAAAACACAGTCACAAAATATATATATATATATATATATTTTTTAACTTTATTTAATTTACAATCTGTTCAAGTTGAACAATAAGCAAATGATATAAATAATAAATAATACAACGTTAACTTGAAGAACATGACCTATAGTGATTGACCACTGTCATTTCAAGTGTCGAGTATCAATAATTTCGACGTGACATCATGAGTCGAAAAACTTCAAGTTTTGTAAAAAAGGATCTGATGATCGTATAACAATATACCGAAACGCGTATTACTGTTGGATGTTCCAGGACCAGGCAATCTGCAGGTATTGTTACCTTCTTATTTTGATTTGCATGAAGTGGCCTAGAAAAACAACTACTTACAACATGAGATACTTAATACAAGTGGGAGTTTTAGGTATATTTTATTATTAGCGCAAAAGGTATTCCTCGTACTTTTCAATAAAAAATTAAATGTGAATCTACGTTTTTGCAGTGACCCTGATCACCACTAATTGTTTAATTTAGTAACTACATATTTCAGAGTAACCAGTGGAAGAAAAGAGGTATTTCAATAGTACCAATGAAGTTCCTCAACCAAATTAAAGGCAGATACCATGCTCTTGTCAGTATATACAGCAAGGATGGAAGAGTAGCTATTAGTCATGGAGGTTCAGAGTTGGGGCAAGGCATGAATACTAAGGTAAATAAATATGTGGCAACTTTTGCATATGAAGTTGTGCTTCTGAATATGTCTTAAAGGACGGTCTTTTTTGTTTTTTTGGACAGATGGTAAGTGGTGTAGCGATCTAGCGACAGTGGAGCAGTAGCTCCAGGGCGGCAAGCACTAGGATGCAGGGGCCGCGACAGGCTAGGATTTTTTTCCTATGTTGTTGTCAAGTGTGATAGGGACGGAAGGAAGATGAAGAGGAGGGGGAGGTATCGTGCCGCTCGCGCCGGTATTCGAGTTAATTTATTAATATACCACTGTTTCTTTAGAAGTGTTGTTTTGTGCTAATAATGAACTATGAATTCGGTTAAAAATATTTCTACAAGTATGCGGTTTGTGAGGTGGTAAATTTTGAACAGAGAGTTGAGTTAAAGCTGCTAGGCCCGCCAAAACCCGATTTAGTTATTACCCAATGTCAAAAATCCTGTAAAAGAAGGAAAGCAGGATTTATGTTTGTATTCTTCAATTATGCCTTAGATAATGCCTGGACGGGCATTATCTTCTAACTAAGTGCTTAAACGTCACCGACATCTACCCGCCATTTCTTAATTCGCGTCCTTTGCTCAGTTCCCGCTGTTTACGTGCACTTGGTAAAGCTATCCTGTATTGAGGAGATTTCTAAGTAAGGATAAGTCCCTAATCAAGTAGGTTAAATATAATAAACCAAATTAAAATACCAATTCATGTTTTACAAATTATTATGTCTGGATTGCATAAAGACGCCAGTTTACAATTATTATTGTTCAAAATTTTTCTCAGACGAAAAATGGTATGGACCCCCCCCCCCCCCCCGGTACTGGGGGGCGGCTTGAGCCATCCCTGCTCCAGGGCGCTCTAAACCTGGCTACGCCACTGCAGCTGGCATAACTGGAGTGTGACAGTCTAGCAGTGAAAGTCTTCTATTGATTGGCACCATGTACTGTTCGTTTGGGGATACATAACTTCAGGACTATATGCTATAGTCGTGAATCATTATCAATTTATCATCCTCTAAAGGCAAGTATTGTACATATTTAAACCAGAATGTCTAGCAGAGGAAAGGCAGATGAGCAGTATTGTGGAAGCAGAGCAGAGTCTCAAACTACAAAAAAAGGTGTACAATGTGTAGAAAAATGTCTTGTGAGTTAATAACTAAGACCAATCAGCTGTAAATTTAATGGTCAATGAGTGTTGGTTTGGTCCAGTTTTGAAACATAAATCTTGAAAACCCGGTCAGCTTTTGAGTTTTACAAGATCACGTCTACCACTTAAATACCGAGTTATATGTTAATACTGTATCTTAAACTATGAATACCCTTACTTTTAAAATTTTGAATTTTAAAATGACAATATTTTTACTTACAGGCAGCTCAGGTTGCTGCTCATGAGCTGGGAGTTCCATTGGAGTTGGTCAAAGTGAAACCCACCAACAACTTTGTTTCTCCAAATGATACTTTTACTGCCTCTAGTACAACAACTGATGGGATCTGCTATGTGAGTAGCTTAGTACCGTTAAAGATAAATACATTGTGAGGTAGATACTGCTAGTATACAGTAGTTAACACATAAGTAAGTTATCACGGGACACTCACCCAGGTCAGCCCAGTCACCTGTGTACCCCGCTGAAACAAATCAATCAGTCCGTGGTGCGACCTATTGGAGAGGACCGGAGTTATTGCGTGTTCGTTGCTAGCGTTACATAACCTAATACATAAACTTTATTGTATGTGTTTCGCCCACCGTTCCCATGGACTGGAGCCGGTCCGCCGAGACCAATAAATTTCCACTTGCAAATTTATTGAATTTGGACATTTATTGACCTATTTCTTTTGTGTTTTTGCTTTTCTTACAACACAACCACAACAGTATATTTAATGTTTATTATATTAGTCAATGTGACTTTCAATAAAAATTGACTCCCCAATACCAATTGTTATTGGCAGTTCCATGATTCACTGTGAGTGACATAAACAATGTTTAGGAGGGAGGAAAGGGGCTGTATATAATTGTAAATATTAGTTATAGTGCTATTTAACAATTTTAGTGTGAAATACAGTGTTTGTGTTTATGAGGAAAAAATGGAGTATTCTCGTCCTGGTGCCTACAGACGTTATTGCGCAGGCCGGCCCGGTCACCAGTGACTGTCGATTTTGGACGCCATTTTTTTGGAAAAAACGGCTAGAAACGCAGTTTGCAGCCTGGATCCTTGCTTCTGGAATTAAAAAAGAAGGATTTTATGTAAAAAAAATTTCAGGCCCTGCGGTGCACCTACTGACATTTTTACCGCACTCAATGTATTAATAATTGGTTTTCCTCATATCAATCTTTCTGCTAATCACATCACTGGTAGTATTCAATTCTGTAAGACACACTTTCTTCAATTTCTATGCACACTTGCTGTTTTATTTTCATGTTGGCTGTAGGACTAAAATACCCCCGCCGCAGCAAACCTGCAGACTAAGCGAATTTCAACTTCAGACATTTTTACTAAAATATTTCCATAAATAATACATATTTATTAACAATTTAAATAGCATTAGATTTAACGAGTGCTTAGGTTTGCTGCTACGGGGAAGGTAAAACGTGTTTTTTGACGATATGTCAATAGTATAGGATGAAATAAATAAATTTGCCAAATTGTATCGACATATATAAACAAGTAAACAACATCAGTTTTCATTTTCTCCATAAGAATAACATTGAAATTTAAAATTACACTTTTTTGAATTTTCTCCGCGACCGTTAGGAATACAACGGTGCTTCAATATACTAAATTATTTATTTTTTAAGCTCTATAAAATGGTTGCAAAAGAAATTCCAAAATTTTTAGTTTTTAGGGTCAAAAATGGGAAAACCCCATTTTTACCCCATAAAACCCCCCATAAACCCCCGTTCCCATGGTCCGATCATGCTGGTTCGCGAACTCGTTAGAATAAATGTAGGTTTACACGTTTATACAAAATTTCATCAAATCAGATAATTTTTGTTCGAGTTATTGTGCTAACGGACACCGATAAATATATAAGTATATATATATATGAATTTGAACGGATGGTGTTTTTGGCCTCTGGGGACCTCAATACGAAAAAGTAAATCGGTCCTGGGTCCAGGTCTTACCATGAGACCTACGGTAATAGCTTATTCCCTATATGGGAAATTCGCTAATAGACATGAATTAGTAACAAATTAAAAATGTTCTCATGAGACTGAAACTAACTAGTCTCCAGGAAGATGAAATGGCTATGATAAAATGTTACACACCGGGAATCAGATGCTAGGCTTTCTATAAGTCTGTCTCAAGCCCATCAGATTGGCCAGTTACTATGTTGTTTACAGGGAATCAGGAAGTGTTGCGAGGAGCTCAACAAGAGGTTGGACTTGGTACGCAGTCCTCAGTTACCCTGGTCTCAACTGATACAACAAGCCTATCTGAAGGGGATCAACCTCAATGCCACTTTCATGTAAGATTTTTTTTCATTGTACCCCCTCAACTGTAAGGTTTAATCAATCAAAAAAATATTTGTTACAACATGCTTCGAACAACTCAAAATGATATTCAAGAGTTTAAAGTGCTTGAGTTGGAAGGTTGCTGGTTCGATCCTAAAGAGAAGTTAATTCTGGACTCATTTGCTATTGGGACATTGATTGATGCTATTAAAAAACTGACATTCTAAAAGGCCAAGTTTTGGACCGTTTCCATACAAAAAAGTAAAAACTGCCAATGGTCTTACACAAATACAAAATAATGATAGCTAAACACTTTTGCTCCTTCCAAAAATTCTACTAATATGCATGTCTTTTTTGAGCTCTACTTTTTTATGAAGACCTTTACGGTTGATATAGATAACTGAGGGATGGACACTATTACTATTGTAGCTGTAGGCTGATACATTAAACTTGACAAAATTCTTTGTACCTATTTTGATTAAGTTTTTCTATTATTTTCTGAAAACTCTCATAAACACATTAAAACACTTCCAGACTTGACAGAAGGGTTGTGTTTGAGATGGAATGTCTTGAGGTTGGTGGTAGATACTCAGATGGATTGTCCATTCTGAAATTTTCTTTGCGCAGGCATGCACAAAATTAAGGCATCAGAACTACTGATCAATAGCCCAACAAATTAAGGCATCAGAACTACTGATCAATAGCCCAACAAATTAAGGTATCAGAACTACTGATCAATAGCCCAACAAATTAAGGCATCAGAACTACTGATCAATAGCCCAACAAATTAAGGCATCAGAACTACTGATCAATAGCCCAACAAATTAAGGCATCAGAACTACTGATCAATAGCCCAACAAATTAAGGCATCAGAACTACTGATCAATAGCCCAACAAATTAAGGCATCAGAACTACTGATCAATAGCCCAACAAATTAAGGCATCAGAACTACTGATCAATAGCCCAACAAATTAAGGCGTCAGAACTACTGATCAATAGCCCAACAAATTAAGGCGTCAGAACTACTGATCAATAGCCCAACAAATTAAGGCGTCAGAACTACTGATCAATAGCCCAACAAATTAAGGCGTCAGAACTACTGATCAATAGCCCAACAAATTAAGGCGTCAGAACTACTGATCAATAGCCCAACAAATTAAGGCGTCAGAACTACTGATCAATAGCCCAACAAATTAAGGCGTCAGAACTACTGATCAATAGCCCAACAAATTAAGGCAACAGAACTACTGATCAATAGCCCAACAAAATAAGGCGTCAGAACTACTGATCAATAGCCCAACAAAATAAGGCATCAGAACTACTGATCAATAGCCCAACAAAATAAGGCATCAGAACTACTGATCAATAGCCCAACAAAATAAGGCATCAGAACTACTGATCAATAGCCCAACAAAATAAGGCGTCAGAACTACTGATCAATAGCCCAACAAATTAAGGCATCAGAACTACTGATCAATAGCCCAACAAAATAAGGCATCAGAACTACTGATCAATAGCCCAACAAATTAAGGCATCAGAACTACTGATCAATAGGTAGCCCAACAAATTAAGGCATCAGAACTACTGATCAATAGGTAGCCCAACAAATTAAGGCATCAGAACTACTGATCATTAGCCCAACAAAATAAGGAATCAGAACTACTGATCAATAGCCCAACAAAATAAGGCATCAGAACTACTGATCAATAGCCCAACAAAATAAGGCATCAGAACTACTGATCAATAGCCCAACAAAATAAGGCATCAGAACTACTGATCAATAGCCCAACAAAATAAGGCATCAGAACTACTGATCAATAGCCCAACAAAATAAGGCATCAGAACTACTGATCAATAGCCCAACAAATTAAGGCATCAGAACTACTGATCAATAGCCCAACAAATTAAGGCATCAGAACTACTGATCAATAGCCCAACAAAATAAGGCGTCAGAACTACTGATCAATAGCCCAACAAATTAAGGCATCAGAACTACTGATCAATAGCCCAACAAAATAAGGCATCAGAACTACTGATCAATAGCCCAACAAATTAAGGCATCAGAACTACTGATCAATAGGTAGCCCAACAAATTAAGGCTAATGATGCCAGAACTAAACTTTAATAGCTACTTAAGTATTTTAAAGATTAAGCATTTGAACTTTCAACCATATTTAGATGGATACTCAATTAAATATTATTTTGAAAAACATTTAAGGTGTATAAAATATAAATACAAACACACTCACACTCTTGAAGACTTTTTTTTATCACAGCTTGTGGTATTTCATTAGGTAAAATTTCATTTCTAGGGTTAAATATTATGTAAAACATTGTGGCAAGTGTTTTGGTCTTTATCTTTAGTCGTCAATTTTCAAACTGTTTCAGGTTTGATCCGCAATGTGATTTGGTGGATTATTATGTGTATGGAGTTACTGTAACTGAAGTAGAAATAGACTGCTTGACAGGAGAACATAGGGTAGGTGGAATAGGGAGTTAACATGGATAGAAGTTTTAATAGTTCTGTATTGGAGATAAGTGTTGGGATATCCACCATTGAAAGTAATGTGTAGATACCAAGTTCTCTTAGTGGTCAAATTAAATTTCCCCTATATGGACTAAAAGTTACAAATGTAAATTAAACTCCTTCCACAAACAATTTGTTCTCAATTTTAGTTTAATTTTGAACTTATGTTAAAACATAGATAATACACACTCCCTTATTGGATTTCTCTTCCTTATCGAACAGCTGAAGCCAATTTTATTGTTAGTTCTATACATTGCACTGTAGAGGTTAATTGTGTTTTGTTTAAATTTTGTTTCTTGTTATTTCAGTCATTTAAAACCTTGTTTAACCAAATAAAATGGTCTAATCATAAACGATATCTGGCTTCCTAGTTATATAACCAAACAGTAAAAAGCACAAATCATAAAAATAGGTAACACTAAAATAATAGAAACAAAATTTTGTCTACACTAGCGATCAGTGTCGATGTACATGAATTAAACACAAAAAACAAGCATAAAAATTTACAATGGGAGGAGAAGTCTACTTGTGTTGGTTAGTCTATGGTTAAAAGTAAATAATATTTTATACGAAGTATGTGACATGTGGCTTAACACGTTGAGTGCGGCCATTCCCGATTGGGTAATGCCTTTTGTATAACTTCGTTTTTACTCTAGCGTCGGTCGAAAGTGGACCTATACCACGTTAGCGTGTAGTGTATAACTTGCATTTTGTTGTGGTGTAGGTTGGTAGTAAATTTCCCTGTAAAATCCCCATCTGGCAAGCTTAAAAATCAACTTTTTGTCCCGTCTTTTTCCCTCCATTTGGCAATACAATTCCAATGGGACCGGCTACATTCCAAGCAGTGCTGCTACCTTTGGGTGTTTAGCGAACTACCTCGGATCTCGTCGTAAAGCAGGACATCCCCACACGTTATTTGCTATTCGTCAGACTGAAATTGGAAAGACAATCACACGCGGCAATCGGGTTTGTTCGACACTGCGGTTTGCGCCGCCCTGGGGATACGCCTGCCATTTGACGTACCGAAGCGAACGTGTTAAAAATGACAGGACTGATTCTTTATGAACTATACAGCACATGCTTCAAAGTCAAACTTGTACGATGAAGTAGCTTGAGATTCCATCTTATTCGAGTTGATTTAGCAGCTATAGCTTATTCAGTTTGAAAATGCTTTAGTGAAAAGCCAATCAGCCAAATATAAATTCACTTTGTCTCCTGGTTTGATGTATCATTCGGCGGAGGTATTTATTATTCCGGTGTAACTTAATAAAATTTTGAATAATTTTTAGCTATTTATATCAACCATAATGATCTCAATAATCTTTCCTCAGATACCTCGCGTGGATATTCTACTCAACCTAGGCAAGAGTTTGAACCCGGTGGTGGACATAGGCCAGATAGAGGGAGCATTTGTGATGGGTCTGGGACACTTCACTTGTGAGAAACTCATTTTTGATCCTGATACTGGGTTGCTCAAAACTGACCGCACATGGGTAAATTATCAATGAATTGTATGTTTGTTAATGTTTATGGTCACTCATAACACTCTTTCCAGTTTAAGGATTCGATATAATTTAATTGATTCAAAACTAGCCGCTATACCCAGGGAAAACAAACTTACAAACAGAATAAATTTTTATTAAAATTATGAAGAAAAGATGAAAGTCAATAAGTTGATGATTTTATATATTTAAATAAAAACATAAATATATACAGTAACTGGTACAATCCTACTTTGACAATCCTCATTTTCTTCTATCACAGATTTTTGTTGCTGCTTAGTTAAAATTAGCTGTTGTCATAAGTTCAAACAAAACACTTAATAGTGCTGCACCCTGTTGGTAAATCTTATAACTTTTCAATGCTATTAAACATAAAAAAATCGAAATCAAAATAAACTTTATTTCAAAAAAATAGTACTGAACTGTACGGTAGAAAATGTAAACTAACACACTTCCAGTGAAATCTTACTTACGGTGCTATTGCCAAAAATAAGATAATAAAAAATGCATGTAAACTTTGAAATAATGATAATGTATAGTAAGTAGGTTTCACAGAAAGAGATATTCAATATAAAACATTTATGAAATATAAGCCTACATGGGCTGGAAGCCTGTGCGTAGGATCAGTCCAAATCAACCAAACTTGCTGATAATGAAAAAAATCAAGTCAAAAAGTTAAAGCCTCCGGTGGATTTCGAACCCCTACCTCCAAATTATCAGCCCGGTGCGCTATCCACTTCACCATCGAGACCTACGGCTGTTCAACGTATCGTTGCGGTAATGGTGTTCGCTCGAGCAGTGGCGGTCTGTCGGCCAGGGTTAATCAATGCTATGGATACTGATTATGTATTTAATATGCATTCATGTTTTAAGTTTTAAGTAAGCAGGCAGCTGATTTTGCGGCCTTAGGGATGTAAAAACCTGCTCGGTCCAAATTGATGACCAAATGACGATGACAGCTGGCATGGCCAGCACAACTTTACTTTCAGCCACCAATTAATGTATGTAAAACAGCTAAAAACATCATAGTGTGGTGAAAACAAAATTTATCTCTATTTATAAAAAATTACTGAAATTTGTAAACAATACTGGCAACAATAGTGGTACCATTCAGGATACATTATCAATGACAAGATAAACATGGACAACCTTATTCCATAACACAAAAAATATTATTTTCGTTAATATTATTTGTGTAGGTATATTATTTTCGGCTTTGAGTGGGAAACTTTTGTAGAAAACACTAAAATATAAGATCAGCTTTTTGAAAATATGATAAAATATTTTCAAGAAATGTTGATTATATCGAACTGTTACATGGGTGTTTCCTTTAGTTACATAATCCTTGAGTTGACTCTTTTAAACTCATTGGAAGTTATGACTGTTATTCGTTTTGTAATAACTTCCTGTAATACTTTGCTATTGCTCGAATTCAAGCTACATGTACAATAGTTTTGAATTAAATCTCCAATTTTTGTTCAAATCTAATGAATGATTCTTCAGGAGTACAAGGTACTGGGAGCAAAAGATATTCCTGAAGATTGGAGGATCTACTTCAATAAGGATTCAAATACTGCACTTGCCGCCACCGGTCCTTATGGTTCTAAAAGTAAGTGATTGTGGGTTACTCGAGTATTAAAAAATGAGATTTAGCATAGTGACAAACTCATTTCTGTTTGAAAAAATAAATAAAATGAGTGGCTAGGACAAAATTATACAGTGACAAAGTTCTTGATTCAATAGCAAATTAAACTTTTAATCCTGAACTTAATGTCCAAAAAAGGGAATTATAAGTACAACAATACCTTCTGAGATATACGTCCAACAGATAATTCAATTTCAATTTTTCTTCTTCACTATATGCCAGGCTTGCAATAACAAAATGACATCGCTTTAATAAAGTAATAAAATAAAATATGTAATGCTTAAACATACGGTAAGTTATATTTGAGTTCCACCTGTTGGTTTCATCCAAACTCTATAGAGCTTTTTTAAGTTCTAAAACAAACAAAAACAATTTTTTACTTGCTGAGCAGCTGTCATTAGGCCGCTCACACAAAGTTAGTTGGCAGGCAGGATAAGGTAATTTGAAATACACTAGAGACAGGTAACCTACCCTGTAACTTGCCTACCTACGTGACCATGGCGACATTTGGGAAAGATGCTGTAGACAGGCTAAATCTAGGGATCTAGGGAAAATATCTAATTATTTCTTGCCTTAACTGAAATATGCCATGACATCATCAATAATGTATATGGCAGGCATATACATTGTTTTATCCTAGGTCTGAACTTTATTGTAGCTGTTGCTGAGGCTCCAACTGTAATGTCAATTTCCGTCAGTTTTGCAATCCGCAGAGCTTTGGAGTCCGTTAGAAGAGACGTTGGTCTTCCTGAATCCTTCTTCAACAACGGTAAGTAGGTTCTGGCATTTTATTACATTTTTATTTTATAATCTTTCAGTGAAGGAAGTGGCTATTATCATGGTAAAATCTCTTTGGAAACCCCCAAATCAGGGACCATTGCACCTTTTTATTTGAGGTCTTCTAGAGTCAAACTCAATGTTCAGTCAAATTGCTACTTGTATATTAGGTGAAGAACTAGCTGTGCCATTATCTCATGACCATTATTAGATATAGAGAAAACTTTAAATTGGGAACTTCAACTAATCTTCTATAATAGTTGACTTCTATTTTTTTTTTATTTCCAGTATTTTACAATTTGGGGTGTAACTTAAACATTTCTTATGAAACACCCTGTATTTTATTTTAGAATTTTAATGTAATTTTAAGTGTTTTAATGCCATTTTCCCCCCAAAGGTTTAGGAGTTTAGGAGTTCCCAATATAAAAGTGTTTTGCTGTAGTTTCTAAAATAACAATGGTGGCACAGTTTAAGATGTACATTTAAAATACTTTTTTATTATTCAGTATTCATGCTACAGCTCCAAATTAAGCGGATTGCTGCAATGCATCTGAAATATCAATCAGTATTTTCACCCAACCAATGATCCGACGATCTTCTTATGACATTTGACTCTATCATTAGGTTATTGCAGCCTTTCTTTTGTGTAAGTTAAATGCGGTCTGCAATTGATCGGTCAAACTTAGGTTTCAAGAAAAGCTCATTAACCACTTTTGGTAATAACGCCACAAAACCCCTATTTGTATGCCTATGTTATTATAATGTTTTGAATCTTTTTTCAGATCCACCAGTAACCACTGAAGTGATTTTCCTGAGAAGTGGAGTAGATTATGAAGATTATTCTCTCTGAATTTAAATCTGAGAACTTAAAATTTAATCCAATTGATTGGTTAAAGTTTGTGTTATAAGATACAGTTGAGAATCTTGAATAAGGTAACTCATGTATAATAATGATGAATGTACACTATTCTTGGCAGATCGTGGTTTTATTGACTAAAAATCTGTTAGCTGATAAAAGTACAACTGACAAAATAATGTAATGGACAAAACTAAGTGCAGATTCATTAACCTTATGCTCAATCCCAAAATTAAACATTTTAACAGCAGCAATTCATCAAGAGGTTGTACTGATGACACAGTTCAGTGTTGATTTGAGGACAAGGCATGGACTGAGGACATTCAATGCCGACGTGGTCTGCAACACAACAGGAGTAGTCAATTCACATTTTTAATTTTTGTAATGCTACATCCTAAGGAATATTTATATTTAAAAGTACCAATTGAACTCAACAATCATGATATAGGTTTCTCCAAGATAAAGCTCACTCTTTAATAAACGACCAGCATTTGTAGTATAAGGAAATACAACAGCGATCATCCAACTTCATATTTAATATTTGATTGAAAATCATCAAGTCAAATTGTAGTGTTAGTTCCTCATTTACAGATTCAACTCCTCCAACTACCGTGCTTATAGTCATAACATTGTTCAATCCTTTGAGGTAGGAATAGTTATGTTAGAATTAAATAATAAATACTACAGTTTGTTGTATTTGGATTAGTCTGTTGTTAGCTCCTGATTACGTTTTAGTGAGTCGGTATCTTAGTCGGTAGCAGGACGGATTTAAATTTCATGACAGCAATGTCGTGGGTTCGAATCCTTATACCTGCCACTTAATTATATCAGTAAAAGTTGACCCTTTTAGCATTCTTTTACTGAACCGGATCACCCATTTCTTTGCTGGATATGCTCCACGAACAGGCCTGAGCACTATATGGATGAGCAAATAAAACTTTAGCGCCAACCTCTTTTTATAAAAAAAGATTCCTAAATTATTTTTAACTGATAAGGGACTTGTCAAACCACCAATCTTACTTCAAAACCAATTGCTGAATTGACTCTTAACTAAAAGTTATTTGTTTACTGGACTACCAATTTACAATGTGGTAATCTATATAAATAAAATTAGAGTTTTGTCTGTACTTTGCTCAGAATTATATACTTTTAGGTTATTTTTACGTTTTATACATTAAAGAAGCAGAAACGAGTCTTATCTCTATTTCTGTCTGTCTGTCTGTCTTTCCCTTTGTCTGTAACACTCAAGATGGCATTTTACACAATCTTCTCCGTGAAAACCAGAGTACCTATCAAGATCCAAGTCATTTTAATGTATTCACTGGATTGGCGAGAGTGTCTTTAGTGATTTAAATATAGCCTCACTACTTTGTAAATAAAATTACGGACGTTCAAAAATGCAGTTTTGTGCGATTTTTGTCAAATTTTCGTTCAATTTTTATCACATAATCGTCTATGAAATAACGAACAGCTGTTCGGATCAAGATGATCTTTTCTAGCTGTCAATGATATGTTTACAAATGTTGTTTACAAATACCGCAACCATTTCGAATCACGTTTTGAAAGCAAATCCCAACCAAGTGAGATTAAAAATGTTTTTATACATAACGGATTTAATTAATCGCAAGTGCAATAATATAGTCTAATAGTGTAACCGTAAATGAAATTAAATAACTAGACATCGTCCAGAAATTCTTTGAGTATAAAATGTTTCTTGAGTTTTGACAACCAGAAAGAAGACCTTGAATCAGTGTTGTATAGGGCTGGGACACTGAAATGATCGTCGCCAATAGCTTACAAAAAAGGTTTCCACTCATTGACGGCGCTTCAATGGCGGTTGTGTAAAGTGTAAAGTAAAAAATCACAACTGCAGTGGGTGATTGTAACAGAGGTTTAACAGAGGAAGTGCTAAACTCGCTTTTCCAATGTGTCACTTTCTGTTTCTACTCACCGTGTGATGCAATCGCTGGACCATACAGCCAATAGGCCCATAGCTCATATCTTGGGTACGTAAGCCTACATATTCATAACAACCTTTTTGACGACGATCCTTGATACCGGTACTTTTCCATAGAATACATGGCCTACCTACTTAAGAAATATAATTACAAATGACCAAAACCCCAACATTGTGTGATTTTCGTCACATTTCCTTCTAATGTTAATAGATATACTAATCATTGTTTAGAGAATGCGTAATCTATTAAATAACAAAAAGTTGTTTGGGTAAGGTTGTTTTTTTTTTTCAAACTGACACCGATAAGTTTACGCTATAACTTTTTACGAGAAAATCCAAAAGCAAGAGATCAATAACCTCGGGACTAGATATTAATGTATTTAATTGGTCGGATGTACTATAGTTCTTAGGTAGGTTCTTACGTAGGTACTGGTTCTTTTCCTTAGAACCGTTGGTAGCTGCTAGAATCATTTTTACGTAGGTACCAACACATCACTGTAGTTAACAAATTAGTCATCGTTGGTGTTGCACCTTATTTATTAGAGCCGTCCGTATTCAATTTAAGTGATGTCTTAACTCTGTATAAGTTTTGCTTTTTCTGTCTGGATTCCAAATCTTAGCTTACCCGGTATGCTAAGAAAATGATAACCTATTTGAGTAAAACATTTGTTGGGCAAACCATCATGAATTGTTTACGCCTTTATATTGTTTATGTATCAATAGTTCGTGGCCTTTTTTGGATTGTTGTGTGTATGTCTGTTGGTAATGCATTAATGTCCTTATTTCTCAGTGTTTCACAGAATGGACAAGAGCACCTTTGATACTGAAAATGTCAACCGGAATAAAGTGTTAAATGGTGAGGTTGAGGTAGTACTTTAAATACGTTTAAGTTAACCGATGTGGAAAGTAACTTTCAATTATAGGCCTACTTTAGGGCTACGCTTCATGGATCTATAAAACATTTTTTAGTTTAATCATTGGACATATGGACCATAATGATCCGGGTGACATTTAATTGCGAAGCATTTATTTTGGCTTGAACTGTCAGATACTGTATTTGCGAAGGTTTATATATAATAGTTTTGCCAGCATATCTGCAAATATGCAAACTAACTGCTGTTCTTAATCTTAATATAAGAAGGTTTCAACTAACTACTATAAGATCCCCGTGCGTAGAACGGGCACACAGCTAGTTTTCTTTAAAATTACACATAAAAATAAAACAATGCAATATTTTATATCTCTAAAAGTCTCTATTTTTTCTAAGTTTCACACAGACTGTTAAAAACATTTGATTTGACATTAAAACAAATATGACGATCGCGGTAAAATTCTGATAATCCCTCGCGACCGATTATTGTATCTCCCTTGGTTCTGTAGAGGTCGTAATCGCCTCCCGCGATTGCGGCAAAAATCTTACTGTTTCCTGCGATCTTAACAAAGTTCCTGCGATCTTAGTGGCAAAGTTCTGATTACCCCTCGCGGCCGTGTGTAAACACATTATCGTCTCCCGGGGTCACGTAAACGTTACTGTTGTGCTGCGCCTTTGCGGTAAATTGACAATTCCAGGTAGAAATACAACATTCACGCACAATTCCTGGTTAAAAAAATTCACGCATAGTTCCCGGATTACCCAGTCGGTGGTAACCGTTTTATTTATATATCGCAAAGGGGCCCTACTATTAGTTGTGCCTAGGGTGCTGACATTGTCAAAAACGGGCCTGTCTGTCCTTATCGTCTTTGCGATACACCAGAAAATCATCGATATAATTGACGACACCTTCCAACCCCTCAATAGCCTCAGCTATCTTTCTTTGGAAATGCTCCGGAACTGAGGTAAGTCCAAATGGTAGTCTTCTAAAGTAAAAGCGTCCGAATGGTGTGATGAAAGTTGTGAGTTTCTCAGATTTTTCATCAATCACGACCTGCCAGAAACCGCTATGAAGAACATCACTGTACAAAATAACTGGGTCCATCTCCTTAGTTGGACTTTTTCTGATAGCAGTTACAAGTCGTTTATTCATCAGTTTTACCTTTGTCTGACAAGTTATAGTCCCTTAACATTTTTCTAATTGCATCTTTGGACAGTTTGTAAACCCAATTGACTCTAGAATCAGATTCGAGCGGAAGTTGAAGCTCACTCCTAGCCTGTGCCGTTGTAGTGGCTGGTTTAAACGATTCTTGGGAGGTAGTTACTATTAAAACGTCAGTCGTGGTAATTAATTCCGGTCTACAGGTCACAGCAACATTAGTGGACGGAGTTATTGTTGGGCGGTTGTTCTCGTAGTCGTCGTCTTTAGCTTAACAGCGGTTGTGGTAGTCGTTCCACCTGTCATTCTGAACGGGCGCCAGTAACCTAGTTGCAAATTTTGCGAAAATTAATCTTTATTGTGTTTGAGTAACAAGTCCCTGTTTGCGGGCGCCAAAACCTACGACGTATTTTCCGGGGGAGGCGTTTGGAAAATACGCGAGCCCGGTTTTGACCCGGTTGCCGGATAGCTAGTTGCGCTGGGTTGCGGTTCCAGGGGTCGAAATGTCAAACGAATCGACAGTAAAGGGGGACTAATATTCTGAGAAGAGAACGGATGGCTCAGACAAAGGGTAAGATATAAAATCTCCAACAATCGAACCCACTTTATCATCATTGCCATATTTGTTCTCTATATGGAAATAAAGGTGCGCTGCGGGCGAACCACAGTTTGGGACGGAGTGCTGTGGGTGAACCACAGTTCGGGACGGATTGCTGTGGGCAAACCACAGTTAGGACGGATACGTCGATCTTGGGGAAAGGCAAGAAGCTAAAGTTGCAAAATATGATTATATCATACCAAACCTACAATACAGCAGTTAAATAAAAACACACAAGTATTACTAACCAACACCTACAATACAGTTGAATAAAACACGCAAGTATTAGTAAGCACAAAACCTACACCACCTGCCACACAGTTATATATGACACGCACGCACTAGTACCCGCTAAAACTACCATCACCCAAAATAACGTTATTCAAGACACACGTATTAGTAACATCTACACTACGACACCTTAAATACCGTTATTTAAGACACACATATTAGTCACTACTAAAACTACGACACCTGAAATATAGTTATATAAAACACAAACGTATTGATAACTAATTTACACATGCTGTGGGCAAACCACAGTTAAGGATCGGGGAGTGCTGTGGGTGGACTACAGTTAAGGATAGGTTATTATTGCTAAGAGCTGATGTAGGCGAATCACAGGGAATTATCGCTAACTATATCTAAATGCTGTGGGCGAACCACAGGGAAAGGGAATTATCGCTACCTTAACTATAACTAATTTCCGTGGGCGAACCACAGAGATTGATGCTAACTATAGCTAAAAGTGCTGTGGGCGAACCACAGTGAATTATCGCTAGCTAAAGCTAAGTGCTGTGGGCGAACCACAGTGAATTATCGCTAGCTAAAGCTAAGTGCTGTGGGCAAACCACAGGGAATCATCGCTAGCTAAAGCTAAGTGCTGTGGGCGAACCACAGGGAATTATCGCTAGCTAAAGCTAAGTGCTGTGGGCGAACCACAGTGAATCATCGCTAGCTAAAGCTAAGTGCTGTGGGCGAACCACAGTGAATTATCGCTAGCTAAAGCTAAGTGCTGTGGGCAAACCACAGGGAATCATCGCTAGCTAAAGCTAAGTGCTGTGGGCGAACCACAGGGAATTATCGCTAGCTAAAGCTAAGTGCTGTGGGCGAACCACAGATAGGATCGGAGGATGCTGTGGGCGATCCACAGATAGGATCGGAGGATGCTGTGGGCGAACCACAGAGAAAGGTAATTATCGCTAACTAAAACTAATTGCTGTGGGCGAACCACAGAGTATTATTGCTAACTAAGACTATTTGCTGTGGGCGAACCACAGGGGATTATCGCTAACTAAGATTAATTGCTGTGGGCGAACCACAGGGAAAGGGAATTAAAGCTAACTATAACTAATTGTTGTGGGCGAACCACAGGGATTTATCGCTAACTACAACTAATTGCCGTGGGCGAACCACAGGGAACTAAAGGTAATTGCTGTGGGCGAACCACAGATAGGTTCGGAGGGTGCTGCGGGCGAACCACAGTTAAGGATGGTTTACACAGATATTTACACAGATTACACAAATAGGCTAGTATCTCGATTATTCCATCAGATCACACGTCTTGATGTTACACAGTATTTACATGCTTAAACTACAGATAATTCGTCACACAAAATGTTAGATATCTTCGATTATACCCGTTTAAGATAAAACTACACTTGATGTTGCACAGTATTACCCTAACCTGTTTACACTACAGATAATTCGTCATACAAAACGTTAGATATCTTTGGTTATAGCCATTTAGTTAAGATAGAACTACACTTGATGTCGCACAGTATTTACCTGTTTACACTACAGATAATTCGTCACATAAATCGTTAGATACATCCGATTAAACGTTCAGTTAATAATTTAAAACCACACACAGTTTGTTAGTTAACACACAACACACAGTAAATATGACAACAGCAGCTAAATGGTTTCCTCCTATGTGTGAGGATAAGAGATACGGTAAATTCCTTTGAGTGTAATTATTGTTCAATCAAGTTTAATAAACAATGACATATAAAAGTATCAAATTATGTGAGAGGCAAAATGTCAATGTATGTCTGCAATGATGTTTACTCTCGGATCAGTAATAAATGTACTGAACAATATACTGAAGAATAAATATACTGAACAATTAGCGCAAGCAGGTTTTACGTTAAGCTGACTTTATCAGAATATTCAATGAAACTTGATCTTGTACTAGACTTGAACGAACAGTATGACAAATGTCTGATTCAAGGCAAGGCGATTACACAGAGTCGTGGTCCTTAGTCCTCGTAGAACCGTGCGTGGTTGACAGTCGTCTGCCTCGTAGTGGGTATGATCGACTCGGCGACTCCCTGACTCAACTGTCAGGTGATGTGAAGTCAACTCTCTCGTGTCCTGGCCTGGCCTTGACTTGACTGTCTCAAGGAGCTGCGTACGGTGCAATGGCCGGGGACGACGCTTGTGCGCAGGTCCAGTTGGGCATGCGCAGAGCGCCCGGTGCTGTGCGAATGGAAGCCGCCGACTCAAACGTTGGCGGGATTTACAAATTTACATTTGTGACCTTGCATTGGAGCTAAATTGGCCCCTTACACAAAAATATTTCATGGTAAAATTTAACATGTTACATATATTTGGCTCAAAACCCAATAATTATTTGTTGAATTGTCTACGGTAGCAGAGTCAGAGCTCAACGCAGTGCGTGTTGGTTTGGTCCACACCACGGACTGTCTCCCCCTACCTAACTAATTTCCTCCATGGAGCCGCAGTCACTTCCCCTCACACGCCTGGCCAAGGAGCGCTCCAAGCGGCTGTCGGTTGAACTGTAACGCAATTTTTCCGTGTAGGGAGGGCAGACTCTTAATAAAAAATATTAAGTTTTTGAAATCATTACAAGGTTAATTCAACAGTGCTTAAAGAATTAAAGATCTGTTGGTGAATATTTTCTTTGCCTACCTCGTGTCTGTTTGCACCCACAGCAGAAGCCCAGCACTATAGGCGGCAACAGACGACAGTCAACTAGGGGGCAGTGGGGCCATTCTCCACATTGCTCGTTGGTGTAGTACTCCACATTCCTGAAGTCAATGGCTGGAAAAAGCAGTGCATGAACTTTATGAGGAAAATGTAAACTGACTTATGAAAAATCCTCTTTTGGTGTGTTAAACAAGTTATACTTTCTCAAACAATAAATTATTTAATTTACACTTGAGAAAAGAGTCGACTTCAAGAACATGCTGAAGAGGACATACAGCTTGAAAATCTTATGCTAAAAAGTGTTATAATTTAGACACTGATGTAAGAGAGTTGTATGTAAACATTGTTTCAGGAGCACCATAGAACCTTTAGTTACCAGACATGTCTGTTGAGTGGGGGACCCTTCCCAAAGTAGCACAACGTCAACAATATTGTCTCGATGTTGTTGTCAATATTGAAACAACATAAAATCTAATGTTAGAAAAAAACGTGTTGTTATGTTAGAACAATATTGTTGGCAGCGTTAATCAACAATGGTTTTACAATATTTTGTTGCTACTTGTGTTTATGTAGAAGATTAGTTCCTATTTGAGAAATCTTAAAACAAAAACTAATTTAAAGGGTAGTTTAGTTCAACGCCCTCATAACAAGGAAGTTATGGCACCCATGCCAATGAATACAAACCACTAGTGGTTTGTATTCATTGGCATGGGTGCCATAACTTCCTTGTTATGAGGGCGTTAAACTAAACTACCCTTTAAATTAGTTTTTGTTTTAAGATTTCTCAAACCACTATAGTGGTTTGTATTCATTGCCCATGCACTCTCAGTATTTGTATTCATTGGTATGACTGACTCCATCAGCTGTTAATGTTTAAAGGGAGAGTTTTATAACCTGGGGCCCATTTCATAATAAAGTACAAACTAATATTATTAGTAAAATCAGCTGATCGCCCAATGCAAATCTAATGGAAATTAAAAGTTACAAGTTGTAACTTGTAACTTGTAGTTTATTATGAAATGGGCCCCAGGTCTGAGCCTTCTTTAATCTTATGTCCAAAATTCAATCATATTGTATTGTAGCTAAAGGTATCAACAAGTTTTTAACCCAATTATTTTCAAGAAATCATCAAGGCTTTTAACCTCAAATAGAGTCTTTTTAGCAAATTTAATAAAGCTACAGTATTACCATAGGTCTCATGGTAAGACCTAGACCCGGGACTAATTTACTTTTTCCGTTTTGAGGTCACCAGAGGCCAAAAACACCCTTCGTTCAAATTCATATTTATATATTATATACAGTATATGTGTATGTGTGTGTGTATCCGTTAGTGCGATAACTCGATAAAAAATGATCCGATGTTGATGAAATTTGGTACAAACATGTAAAACTACACTTATTCGAATGAGTTTGTGAGCCAGCATGATTGGATTATGGGAACGGGGGTTTATGGGGGGTTTTGTGGGGTAAAAATTAGTTTTTCCCATTTTTGATTAAAAACATAAAATTTCACAACTTTTCCATGCCATTTTGTAGAGCTTAAAAAAGAAATAATTTTGTATATTGAAGCGTTGTTGTATGCCTAACAATTACGGAGATAATTTAAAAAACTTTAAATTTAAAATTCAAATGTTATTCTTATCTATCTATCTATATATTAATAGGCAAGCATGTTTCTTTAAAACCTTTTTTCTCAGCTCGTGTGCATCGTAGGGAAAATCTACGCATACCGTTGGAAAGCTATTTTCCTGTAGGTGTGCAGAATCCCTTTATAAATTTAAATAGGCTCAAAGATAAGCACAAAAAATGAGTTTAAAAATTTGAAAAAATTAACATGGATCTTATGCGTTGCTATGCTGGTTACGAAATAACAACGAAATATAAACAGAAAATCAAAACAAATGGAGGAAACTCCAATCACATGTTTTATTTACAGTGTGGGGTGAAAATAGATAAGTGAGTACATTACATATTTTTGGTCGAGTTTCGACCACTGGACGACCTCTCGTATAGAATAAATAAACGGTTATAGTTTGTTTTTTTATGGATGTATTTTAATCAAATTTGGCAATTTTGTTTATTTCATACTAAGCTATCAAAATTTCAATAAAATACACCACTCAATACCTTCCCTGTAGCAGAAAACCTAGGTACGGTACTCAAAAGACAAAAACGAATGTTATTTAAATAGGAAATAAATCTGACAATTTTCAGGGAATATTTTAGTAGAAATCCAGCCAGGTAAATGGATATTCGCTTAGTCTGCAGGTTTGCTGCGGCGAGGGTATAGATGAAAGATAACTATTGTCATCACACTAACACAATTTAACAATCCTAATAATATGTTCTTTGTTTGGTGATGCTGGGCTCATGGTATTTGAGGGATTATTGTGTCATTATTCATTAGGGTCGGTAAAAAAGCTTGTTGTACATAAACACACTTGAACACTTGCCATGTTTTTTTTTTACTAGTCGTGATGGAAAATATCTTCAATGGTCCTCCTGATATAACATTGTTTTTACACTAAACTTAAAGTGCAATAAAAAATAAGTTAATTGATTGATAACTAACAATTTTACAAGTTTAGCTAAGCTCCTAATTTTGAAAAGATATTCTACTTAATAAGTTGTAATAGGTATGCAATTACAGTAATTGATTCTTCGTGGATGGCTAATTCTAAGGAGTGTGCATTAATTTGCCCAGTGTATTTATGAGTATCTGAAAACAAGAGGTCCTAAAGATATTATTTCTTTGAATATTTTAGAAATTTTACTAAAGAGAACCTAATCAAAAAGAAAATAATTTTATTGATTATTATTTTCTAACTATGAACCTCCAAACAATAATATGTCATGGGGAATCAATAAAAATTTTAAAATTTTGAACAGTTTTGTGTTCATTTTAGCAAGTACAGTACGTATATTAATAATACTTCTTATTGTTAAAAATGAAAGTCATAAATTACCTGGAACAATTTTGGAGGATGAAACATCAATAATTACAAAAACACTAAAACATAAAGAAACTAAAAACAGTATCAACATTATTATCCCGTGTTAGCTTATCTGCTTGAATTGGTGAATGAACTGAATGTTTTACTTGATCATGTTGTTTTTACATGGTATGCACCTGCATAACTTAACACCTGTGGAAAAAGGTGACTCAATCTAAATTATTAAATTTGATTAGTCATAGATCCTCACTAGTTGCCATGAGAGAAAAGAATGTATCAATACAAATAATAGACTAAGACGTTGTGATGGATTATTGGTGAACCCTGGTTTGTATCTAACACTACAATTGGGAATGATTTCAAAATTAAAACAGTGAAAGAATAAATTACTAAATAAATGTGCTAGTGAATGTCTAAAATTGTATTTTATACCTTATTATAACTATGACAATGCCTATCTCATGTATATGATCAATGGCAAATAAACCATTTCATTTCATTTCATTTCATTTATTATTTATTGTTGCTGACTCGGTTTATGGATCATAACACTTGCTATAGATCACCATAAGTCATTACCTAAGTTTTGACTTGGTAAAAAAGTTTGTGTATTCGACAGAATTTAGTAATTTAGATCAGCCCAATCTGTAGGTGGCTCACATCAACTACAACGATTTTGATTAAAAAATCTGGCAAACAGTCTGGCCAGTCTGTGGTCTGGCTGTTATGGTACCCATGACTGATCCCAAAAAAGTGGTTTTTTAGGTGATGTAATGTGTGTATGTCTGTCTGTCTGTCTTTATGTGTAGAATGTGGATGTGTACCGAGCTACCGTACAGACTACACCTGTGGTCCAATTTTTAAGAAATTATGTATGTGGGTCCTAATCTATGTTATTTCCAGGAGTTTTTTTTTTTATTATGATTTTTAATGGTGATTTTCCCATAAAACCCCACAAAATAATGGGAAAACTAAATTAACAAAAAAAAACAGCCTGAACAACTTTAAATTAACATTTAAAAGGTTATAGCTCTTATTTCTCTAAACAAAACTATACAGATCCTATTGCTGTAAAATTTTTGGTTCAAAATTGATTGCAAATGTTGTGATCTTTTCATAAAATAACAAAAACGAAAAGCGGATATTTGGATGTTTTATATACGGCTCTTCACTTTGTCCTTTTAACTCCAAGCAAAATGGTTTAAAAACTGCTAAAGGCTTCCCCATAAAAATATCATAGTTACCCCCACTTGCCCATCATAAGTAAAGTGGCGTTTGCAAGCGAATGGGAGAAAGTATGGTATTATTGCTGATACTGTTATTTATTAAATCAAATGAAATAATATACTTAAATTCTACTTTGTGTATTAATTTATATCATATTTGTTTTTGCAGTTCTTATTTGGACCTATGATAACAAAGGCACATCTGAATAATTTTGAATGTATTTCATTCAATGTGCTCATTGCAATAAAGATGGATGTGTGTGTGTGTGTGTGTGTCTCATGTTATGATAAAGTTGTAATAAAAAGTAATCTTGATAAGATTACCACATTCACTTGGAGGTGTCTGTCTGGAGACTACTATGCCTACATCCAGACATAAATCCCTATATAAATCCCAAAAGTACCCATGAACTTTTGAGAAACACATCACCATAAACCATATAGGTACTTAAAATGTTCGTCATGACGAGAAATCTTGCGCAAAACTATCCATTATTTCATAAATTACCCTTTAAGGTAATTCCTTTCTAAGGGGAACTTTCCACATACGGTACCCATAATGTTAAAAATACCTCGTCTTCAGCTGTACTTATTTCTTTGTATTCTGTTTTTTTATTTCAGCTTAACTTAACCAATAAATAGTTTTATTAATACTTACCTACGAAGTCAAATGGGGTGAAGGTGGGTGAAGCCCGTGGGTAACCACTGAGCTAAAATTATAACTGGAGCTAGCACTGCCATGGCAGAAGTCTGTCAAAAGCGTGTCACTCACTGATTTTGTTAGGTTGGTGTAGCAGCGGGTAACGGGTATAGCAGCGAGTTTTCTTATCATAGCAATAACATGGCTTCTAAACTAGGTTGGTATAGCAGTGAGTTTTCTTACCCAATAACATGGCTTCTTATAACTCACACCTCACGCAAACATGGCGGCTGGCGACACGCATCTTTGACATTCAGTGCTACCTCCAGTTAGAATTATAGCTCAGTGTGGGTAACAGCATTGACTATATATACCTATAGGTATATTATAGTCAATGGTAACAGCATAGATAAAACATACTCCGTAACAGCTAGTAATCATGGTGGAAGATTCCACCATGGCTAGTAATGATACAGAGGAATGTGACGGTCGGTAGTAAATATGTTCCGTTCTAATCAATAATCGTACAAAAACTTAATATTTTATATGATTGAACTTGTGAATTAAGCCAGATATATTATGTAATAATGATGATAGTAATACAATACACTACGATTACGATAAAATAATAATATAGTGATATATTCTACATAATCAATGCCTCTTCTTATGTAACTTCCCTGATATCATACCACTAGCCGCTGGTGCTAACAGATCACAACTTCACAGATGATTTTATTTTGGGTGTTGGTGTTGGTGTTTTTATTTTAATAAAGGTAAACTGAACTGAAACTTAAAACTTATAACTCCTTGATTTTGTTCTAGCTTTGACTATTATCTATGCTATTAGTTAGTTAGTAGTTAGGTTATTTTTAGAATACGAATTTTCACCCTCAAAAATTAGTATTTTCCTTGACGATTTTTATTTAAGAAGATTGATTCATCTGCAAGATTATAGACAGTGAAAATATTATAGCTATGTCCTCTTGAAAGTGTAATTTTATTAAAACCTGCGGTGTGGGACTATTCTTTCATAGAGGTATGTTGGTTTCCTTTTCTTGTGACATTAGCTTAATCTATGCATCCGTTCGTTAACTGGGTAGGCCTACTTATTTAATCTGTAAGCTAAGTTAGGCCTATCCAGGGTTGGCAAAATCCATGTAAATGAATAATGAAAGACTAGGCGAGGCTTACTTCAATAAGGCTAAACCTGATTTTAATTTTCATATGGCCACTATCCACCATCGATTGAACATTAATCGATGCTATCAAATGGAAATAATATACCGTACCGTACCAAAGTTTTAATAATCGAGGGTATTGACTTCTCAGTTAATAAGTTATGCATTTTATGATCTGCACCCGATTTTTGACTTATTGGTAAGTTAGGCCTAAATATTTCCGATACCCAACTCACCTAAAACGTCCTAACTTGACGTTTTCAAACTGTTCCTGGACACCAACACTACAAACTATGACTTTTTTGTCGCTGAGGCTTCCTTTGACCTCTACAATCGGATAGGCTTATATATATCAGCAATAACCCCTACCAACTAGGGGACTGGTGGGATTTTATGGTGGGAGAAGCCTAAACATAGTGACAGAGTAGTTCCTTTACTAGACACCACACCTAGATTACTATACACCTCGTGTAGCCTAACCTAACCTAACCTAATAACTCTAAATTGGTGTAAATATCTGCATTTAAATGCGATCCTGTTTGTAGCTGAGTTGCTACCGGTGTCAACACACATAGGCCTAAGAGTTATCTCCAGGCTGTTAAAGATGTCTTCTCGCTTCATTCTAATAAATAAATAAACAAAACACGAACACGTACCGGTACACGCACATTAAAAGAACATTTAGGGCTAAAAAAACTGCGACAGTAGGCCCATGGGACACGACGTGATCTGGCGGGAGTTATGTCTAGACTGCTGGTCAGGACTCAGCTACAAACAAGGCATCTCACTTTATTCTAGGCCTACTATCACCCTTCACTTATGTTTGGGTTAAAATACGCACCTATGTCCAAGGAGGGCGGTCCTAGGCCTATATTTGGGGGGGGGGGGTCATTGGGGGTATGGAAAACCCCCCAGTAAAGAGGAGGCACTGGGAATGAATTTTAAAATTATGTGCTTTAATGAGTGATTTTTAAGCTGTACGATCTCAAAGACATACAAAATGAAACTGATTTAGCCTAATGTGTACAAGCTTTCCAGTGTATTTCAAGAGATGTTAAAAAAATAAACATGCAATGCATTTTTTGCATTATTGAGGGTAGTGGAATTTCATTATAACACATGGTTTTTACTCGCAGGTATATATAACACATTCAGTTCAAAATTTTTTAAATGCATTGAATTGATGTATGTAGGTAACGGACTCTCGCATCAAGGTTCTACCTATTCACCAATCATTAAAAATTTGTAAAAATACTCTTTCAACTGGTGTTGGTGTGCATGGTAAACAGAAATGTATTCCAAAATCGGGCCAAAATTTCAAACTAGAACTTATTTTATGTAAGAAGTGTTTGAGAAGTTTTACTCAACATGACTGCATTATAGCCTAACTGCCCAGTAAGCACTAAGCAGCAATTAAACCACACAAAGTTTCTAGTCGCCGTCACTCACTGATTGTAGATTTGGCCTAGGTACATAAAATTTGTTCTCAGTGTTCTCATATTGGTTTTTGCTATTCTTAAATTTGATATCAGGTCCTCTAATTATTAAAAAGTTATGAGTAGCCTACTATTTAAATATTGGAAGTTTTAAAATTGGCTAACGTACCGGTAATCATTTAATTACATTACTGTGATTGCAAATTCCTAACGTTTAAGTCAGATACATTAACGTTCAGTTACTGTTCAAGCTTTGCCTATTAATACAACCTCTTTATTTGTTATAATATTATTATCTTGAAACTCTTCTTTATCCAATAGTCAGTTTTCAAGTTTTCAATAGGTACTCTAGGTTTTATCTGTAAAAAAAAAGATTTTGGGGGGTCATGACCCCCTTGACCCCCCCCCCCCACCCTCTGGGACCACCCTTGCCTAGGTGGCTTCCCCATCCCAATAGGTAGGCCTAATGTAGGCTCTTAGAATAGTTTAAAAGTGTATTTTAAACGTTTAAGGTGAGTTGGGGTACCTAAATAAGTAATTACCCTGCACTAGACCAAAACAACTCTTACTTTTGGACAACCCTTGATAAGTAAAATTATCAAGCTATCCTTCAATGCTTCAATTTTGTAGATTTTAATTATTCCTAATGTCGTTTTTAAGAAATAGTCGGTCTTACTCAGTAGAGTTACACAATGGAACTGTCTCAGCCAACACACATCTTTCATTCATATTCGTGTTATATGCCAAGTTGCATCCTCATCTCCAAATATTTATATAACCAATACTTCCTTTTTTAAAAGAAATAATTGTTGGGTCTAAGAAATGATAACTTGAGGTAAATTTTTACCATTTAAAACTCAGTACCTTAAGATTTGTTATTGAATGGTATCCACTAGGGATGGACGGGATTGAATTTTTAGTTCGGGACGGGACGGGATTTTTTCCTGTGCTTAAAAAGAAAGTATTGAGTATTGCAGTTACCAAATAAGACAAACGAAATCAATGTTTACCATTTGTGGCACTGACATATAAAAACAAAAGAATGGGTAAAAACTTACGGGTATAGCAACTTGTGACTCGTGGTCGAATTGACTCACAGTCACGGTGCTATCGTCAAAATCACTCGCGGTCACGGCGGGATCTTCGGTATGACTCCGCAGTCACGGCGTGATCGTCGGTATGACTCGCGGTATGACTCCGCGGTTACTTAGCTATCGTCGGTATGACTCCGCGGTATTACTCGTGGTCACGGCATGATCGTAGGTATGACTTCATCTTCATGGTCACGGCGTGAACGTCGTTATGACTCCGCGGTCACGGCGTGATCGACGGTATGACTCACGGTTTCGGCGGGATCTTCGGTGTGACACCGTGGTCACAGCGCGATCGTCGAAATGACTGCGGTCACGGCGTGATCGTCGGTATAACTCCGCGGTAAAATCGCGATCGTCGGTATGACTCCGCGGTCACGGGTTGATCGTCGGTATGACTCCGCGGTCACGGGTTGATCGTCGGTATGACTCCGCGGTCACGGGTTGATCGTCGGTATAACTCGCGGTCACGGCGTGATCGTCGGTATAGCTCCACGGTAACTTCACGATCGTCGGTTTAACTCCGCGGTAACTTCGCCAACGTCGGTATGACTCTGCAGTCACGGCGTGATCGTCGGTATGACTCCGCGGTCACGGCGTGAACGTCGGTATGACTCCGCGGTCACGGCGTGATCGTCGGTATAGCTCCACGGTAACTTCACGATCGTCGGTTTAACTCCGCGGTAACTTCGCCAACGTCGGTATGACTCTGCAGTCACGGCGTGATCGTCGGTATGACTCCGCGGTCACGGCGTGAAAGTCGGTATGACTCCGCGGTCACGGCGTGATCGTCTGTATTACTCGCGGTTCGGCGGGATCGTCGGTATGACGCCGCGGTCACGGCGGGATCGTCGAAATGACTTCGCCTCCTGCGTTCGCAGAACTATCGTGAACATCTCTCGCGATAGTGGCGTCATCGTCACTCGCTAAGCGGTAAAATCGCCGACGATCGGATAAAATCCCGTCCCGAAAAATTCCCGAATCAAATTTAATCCCGTCCTGAATATCGGGAATATTTTTTCCCCGAAAATTTCCCGAAATTTCGGTACCTGTCCATCTTTAGTATCCACTTTACCAGTTTAGGTTCAGTAACCCAAACTTATTTAATGTTTTTAACAAATCCAGGTAATATCTGTTTTCTTATGTCGATTAGGCTTATGTGGTATTGATTCCACATGACCATAAAGTTCAACTGCTTACTGCTGGATCAGTTTTTATTTAAATAATCTTTTAAATAAAAAAAAAAAAAAAAAAAAAAAAAAAAAAAAAAAAAAAAAAACTGACAGAGTTAGGACATACTTATAATTTTGCCAGTTGAACAGAAATCGGTGGAGTCAGTGGGGATGGCGCAGTGCCAAGTGTGAGGTGTTGCCAAGATTCCTCAGCTCTAGCGATAGTTATAGTGTTGCGTTTGCTGTTTACTGACATGTCGTGATCTGTGTTGCAGCCTCGTCGCCATGACGGAACAGCCAGTGCTTGTCCAGGCAATATATTCCTTCAAAGGCAAGAACAACGACGAGGTAAGATAATAAGGGCTAGTTAGTCATTGGGTCATTAGTCTATGTGTAAGGTCGCCTCATGTTGTAGGCATACTCTTATCTAATGTGCTGTATGTATTTTACAACCATGTATTTAAAACTAGTTCTAAATATAGTTTAATTTAGTTTAACAAAGTATTCTGTTTTGTTTTTTCAATAGGTTTAAACAAAATAAAAACATACAAAGCAAATGCTAATATAGTATTGATTTTTTATTTTTGTATTGCTCCCAACAGAAACAGATGAATGAAGTACCTAAATTTTTTTTTACTGAAACCCCAAGTAGTAAAGCCTCAGGTAAATATGAAAAAGGAAGCTTGACAGAATCGTTCCCAAACAGTTATAGAACATCATCGTAAAGTTTTGTAATGATCTGATAGAAGTTTTTATAATGCATACAGCAAGAAGAGTAGCAAATGAGGGTATTAAGTTTTGTATATATTCTTTCTTGTTAGTTTTACTTGACCTCTTTTATGTTTGTTTTTAAAAACAATTTGTTGTCAAGTCTTGCTAGGAAATACAAATGTACAATACTTTTATGAACCAGACTTAGAAAAATATGTTAAAATTGTAAACGCTGGCTCTGCTCTGGAAGTACAGTAATAAGTCCCTGCAATCTGGGGTTAACATTAAAAACTAATTTAACGTCGGTATGACTCCGCGGTCACTAAATGCCACTAATTCATACCATGTCCATATGTTTAGTTGTAAAAAAAGTGAATTGAGTTTGATCCAATGTCAACGGATAGCGCCACCGTTCCGAAACTTTAGCCCTTAACTGTACTCAAATTATGCCTTTTCTTAATATTCTGAGACGTATTTGCACATATACGTGAAAATACCTTTAATTTGACTCCTCAAACGTTAGAATCCATCCAGCGGCTATCGAGTTATGACTGTGAAAAGAAAACAAACTGCTTGTGTATCAATATATAGATACTTTTATTCTATTCAACTCTCTATAGCTACTTTAGACAAGAAATGGATATACAGCTTGTAATATGTATGCCATACCGGGAGCTTAAGTGTGTAACCTTAAATTTACCCAAGAACACAAAGTTCTCCACCTTTGATTGTTATCTTTATAAACATTTTTGATATCTCCATATTAAATTACCGGTAAAAATAGAGTGAGCCGGTGGCTCAGTCGGTAGTGTCACGGACTTCGGGCCCAAAGCAGTAGTGTCGTGGGTTCGGATCCTGGTCACTGCCACTAACTTTTATCAGTACAGTTCACCTTTGTACTGTACCGGCTCACCCCTTGCTTTGCTGGATACGTTCCACGCACAGATCTGTAGTCTATGTGGACGGGCAAATGCAAGGTTAAAAGAGGCCGCCAACCTCTTAAAAAAAAAATAAAAAAAATAAAAATAAAAAAAGTTTCACTAATCTTAATAACTACCTTTTAGTCGTCAGCTATTTATTATTTATTGATTTCCTTAAGTTCTTGCCTAATACTTTGGAGCAGTGATGTGTGATGGAAAGTCTATTCTTCGAAATTATAAAGTACCGGTACCGGTAACAACTTGGTTAAAATTTAAAAAATTACAATTTTTAATGAAATATATTTGATGTTTTCTTGGCGTTGTATTACGTGTGACAATATAAGTTGTTTGAACAGTGAACGTAACTATCATGTCTGTGAATTGGTAAAATGGCCTTAGACCTCCTAGATTTATGTTTTTGTATAAGGTTACACCATTGAAAGTGTGGTGATGTTTTGAGCTTCATCATCTGCGATTGCTCCAATAGCGCACTCTGCATCAATTAAGCTATTAAAAACTTGGTTTTTGTTCATCCTAGGTAGGTTGTGTTTGATACCTTCATCCAGCATATACGCATTTCCTTCTCATCAAATTTTATTTCTGTTTTGTAAATGGTCCTAGGGTAAAAATCAAAATTAAAAAAGTACAAGGTTTCTGTGCATTTAATAGATTGGTTATTTTCTTCTTTTGGGATTTCTTATTTCTAATGATCAAATTCACAGATCGTTCATCATAAAACAACAAATCATCTAGTTGGTTAGGATGTGCATGATTACAAACTTCGAGGTACTTTTTGTACATGAGACTGTTAAGCAAACTCTTTTTCTTGTAAAGAAATTTTATTTCATTTTTCATCTAAAGTTTTTGTGCAATTATTTTGGTTCTCTGAACAGCAGGTGTTTTATTATTTATTCGTACTTGGACGTAGTTGGGGGTTATGTCATGTCGTAAACAGTCTTTGTTAAACTTCTCTTTGTTTTTGGGTTCTGTCTAAGGCTTCTTGTTCCTGATAATGGGTTCCCCGCATTAGCGTAGCCAGGATTATGTCAAGGGGGGGTTTCACAAAGCTGATCTGGAGGGGGGGGGGGTTGAGGGCCACAGCCGTAACCTTAGAAAATAAATAATAAGGTTTGTTTAGGGCCATTTAAAAAATAACTAATGGCCATAAAAAAACAAATGTAAGATGTGATCTAACAATGTAAGCACAGTAGGTAGTTGATTGGCTATGTATACCTTCTAGCCTCTAGTACATTTTATTTTTAAATATTCCTCATTTGCACAGTTCCACTTGAGAACTAAACATAATAAGCTAAATAGCAGTGAAAAAGTTTCTGAAACACAAGATTTTTTAATTGAAGTATTTATCAGTCTTATTATGGGTTCAGACAGTAAATCAGAATTGTTTTTTATGTCCTGCATGCGTATATTATCTAAACCAGACGGTCCCTTTTTCTTCATAGATTGTACCAATATATTAAAATTTTCCTTATCCAGGTCTGGTATGGTTAGAGTCTCCTTACATTTCTTTTGCTCCTTATATTGTGACACAATTATCTGACAGTCATGTAAAGATGCATATACACATTCTGTGAATTTTTCTACAAAAAAAACAAAAATTGTATTTATATTATTTACATATTTAGAAGAAGAAGAAAAAATATATTTATATATACAAGAAATCTATATATATATAATTCTGTAAGACCAAATTTTTACCAGAACATTGTGGACATCTGGTAAGTCGCAGAAAAGTGGGAGGGGTCTTAAATTAAAGGTCTTGACCCCAGGGACTCGGGAAAAATAGCAGAATTCCCATAAAGTTACCAGAAAACGAGATATAACGTAAAATATCCACCATAAGAAATGCATGGTGACTGAAAAACGTCTGCATTCTATCAGCTGTTACTTATTTATTTGCAATGTTTACATTTATTCCAAAAGTCAATGTTGGTAAATATTGTTTCAAAATGAATTGTGTTTAATTTTTTTGTTTTCCGTTTTTATAATGACTAATGAGTGAAGTAACTAGACAGGGTAGGGGAAGACTTGCAAGACGTGGAAGAGTGTCCAGGAATTCAACAGACTTAAGAAATGCCAAAGAGAACGTCATGTAGGGCCTAACTGTGAAAGAAATCCAGAAGCTGTTTTACAACCTGTCTTTAGAAGAACGCTGGAAAATGAGTTGAGTGTTGTTTCTCACAATCTATGCCCTCTTAAAGCACTTGCATGCATTGTGGCGCATTTAACTTCACAGAGGAGGCCACAAATGGACATTTCAACGCATGTTGCCACAATGGACATGCCACAACCACAAGTAAATGACGAACTAAAATAACTGTTTTTACATGATTCGAAAATAATAAAAAACATAAGGCAATACAACAGTACAATGGCTTTTGCGTCGCTTTGCGCTACACAAAAAGAGATTCCGGGAAATGGGCCTTACTGTCTTAAAATTCAGGGACAAATTCATAGATATATTTCTGACTTACTACCGCGAAATGGGGAGTTGCCATCATAATAATTAATAATAATTTTAACCTTTACATTTGGTTCTCAAAATGGAAACTATAACATAATTCGTAAGATTACAAAACAAATCTTCAATTTCAAACTAAAAAAGATGTGCAATGTTTGGCTGTATGATTTCAGCTCTGATTCGTCGTTCTCCGGGCTCAGGCCTATTCGTGTGCACGTTTCCATTTGTTAATACAGTATGTTGTGTTATTGATTTAATCATTATTTTACAATTGTATTTCATTGACACATCAGAAGCAACTAATATACGACTCCAACGGAAGGAAAACCAAGATATAAAACAAGAAACACTGTTAAATTAAAGTAACATAAAATTGATAATTTTAAAAACATATTTCGAATATTTGTCTTTTTATATATGGTTTTTTTTTTACTGTAGTCTAAATTAGGGGCTATGGCCCCTACAGGCCACTAGTAATTGATAAACTCGTCGCCAACCAGCTCAAACAAAAAAAACCCAAGCAAAAATGTGATGCCAGTTCTCTGGCGTTCAGTCACTCACTTTGATTGATATTCCTTTTGTTTCCCGTTTAACTCGGTACAGCAATGTAAATGTGGTGATGAGCGGAAGTAGTAGAGATGCTGCCGTCAGTCTGATACTCATCAGTGTGACGTCAATTATCTGGCGTTCAGCCACTTGCTTTCACTCATGTTCCTGTTGTTTCTCGTATAACTCGGTAGAGCAATGTAAATGTAGTGATGAGCGGAAGTAGTAGAGATCCTGTTGTGCTGCTGTTAGTCTTATACTCATTAGTGTGATGTTAGTTCTCTGGCGTTCAGCCACTCGCTTTCACTCATGTTCCTTTTGTTTCTCGTATACCTCGGTAGAGCAATGTAAATGTAGTGATGAGCGGAAGTAGTAGAGATCCTGTTGTGCTGCTGTTAGTCTTATACTCATTAGTGTGAGGTTAGTTCTCTGGCGTTCAGCCACTCGCTTTCACTCATGTTCCTGTTGTTTCTCGTATAACTCGGTAGAGCAATGTAAATGTAGTGATGAGCGGAAGTAGTAGAGATCCTGTTGTGCTGCTGTTAGTCTTATACTCATTAGTGTGATGTTAGTTCTCTGGCGTTCAGCCACTCGCTTTCACTCATGTTCCTTTTGTTTCTCGTATACCTCGGTAGAGCAATGTAAATGTAGTGATGTAGTTTCCCGCATAACTCGGTACAGAAATGTAAATG